CAGAAATTCTTCATGAATTCTAAAAAACTACTGATCCCACGTCTTCAAGCCCAATCCAACACCCCTTCCACGCAGAAAGCCACATCTTTAAATCTTCATTCTACATTGAGGCGTGAAGAATAGGCTGGTCAATAATGAGTAAGAAAGAGAAGCACCCTTTAACCCAAACAGCCAAAAACCACAGGCATGCTCTGCTGTTACTGTATTTTTGGTGTATAATCCACAAAGCCTCTTCCTTTCCCTACACTGGAGACTGGAGTGCCCTCATGCCTGCATGCAGGTAAGCCAAGGAGCTGTGTTTCTCCTGCTGTCCCTTCCCCCCCTGACACCATCGCCTACCTCTGCCCCAGCACTCACTCCCCATCTGTCACCCACCTCTGTGCAGATTGAGGATTTATTTTCAAGCAGGATACAGGGATGAAACTAGGCATTACTTTGTCCTCCTGCTCCTGAGCTTCTACCTATTTGTTTCATTAACTTCTGTTACATTGTGATGGCATCACGTTGCAAGCTCTTTAGGACAGAAATGGCCTTTGTAAGAGATCCATGCACAGTGCCCATCCCAGCAGCCCCCCAGCCTTGCTGACCACGGTTTATGACCACTGCAAGAAAATGAATATTAAACACCAATATTGAAATCCTGTGAGTCACGTTTCCCCATTCAGGCCCTAAAACTATGGAAAACTCCTCTTTATCGTAAAGCAGGGACTGCCAGCTCACAGACCACACTTTCATCAACTGCTCTGCTCATTTCCAGATTTAGTTTTCATTAAAATGCAGCCCAGGATTAAAATAAGTCAGCTGGAGCTATACAGTGGGGTAATTTGCAATACTGCACCCGTGTACAGCCTTAATGATGCTACACGGCTGTGCCCTCCTGTGTCAGCCTTAGCTGTGGTGGCAAAATAATGAGTCTAATCAAGGAAAGGACAATTCTCTGCTTCATATAGTGGAAAGCAAAATATTTTTCCTGCAAGTTGCTGGAAGGAGTTGGTTTAGGATGAACAGTAAATATTAACTCCACTGCATTTTGTGTGCAGACACAAAAAACACAGAGGTAACAAAACTGGTAGCAGAGCTACTTTGACTGACAACCTTAACCTAAACAGTTTTTGCTTTGTGTTGTTTATGAAGGTTTTTTATTGCAAGAGTGGGGGGAAGTAGCTAAAATCCTCACAAGACTACTTAACATTTCCCGGTGAAAATGTAGCATTTCAGTGAAATTCGATATTTTCTTTCATCAAAGGCAGGGAGCCTCAACCCACATGTTAACAGTAATGTAACAAGCCTACTGTATGTGCTACAACCGAAGATCCTTTTCCAATTAGAATCCATTTAGTTTGGGGGGGGAGGAGGGGTCGGAGTGAAGAGGTGGCTCTGGAATTGATCTAAAACTGGAATTCAAGCCTTCTGGCTGGGAGCATTAACCGCTCAGCTGGGAATCCCAAACACTTGTTTGGACTCCGCAGCGAACCAGAAGCAAAAGAGCGATTTTAGGAAGGAGAACATTCTGTCCCCAGAAAAGTAAGGAGATGCAAACAAGAATGTTTCTTTTTCTACACAGGACAAAGAAAAAAAAAAATCTCTGTTGCAGCAGGGGAAAGAAAAAGTATCCAATGACCTTTAATTTTCCTAAAACTCCAATCTGAATTTGCTTTTCAGTTCCAGCTCCGACAGAATCTCCAGATCAAACTCATTAGTGTTGGTTAAATCCAGGTTTGCTGATAGAAACGTGTGGGACAGCAAGCAAAATCAGTATCAGGCCTCAGGAGTGGATGTGCCTCTTTAATTGAAAAAGGCAGAGTAATCATTCATTTATTTAACCCAGAGATGATTATAATCTGAAAACCTTGAAATCCTCTTACACAACAACTGTTTTGGCAAGCCCCTCTGTGTTCCAACAAATATTAAACTGTGCTTGCCATTTGTCTAAGGAATCTTGTATTAATAAACATGAAGAAGAACACTTTTACCTCCCACACTCAATGACAGAAAAAAACAAAGACCAGCTGTATTCATCAATGGATCCTTGTTCTGCACATAAAGGCTAATTACATTTTACTTCAAGCCTACACATGGAAAACTTTGCTGCTGCCATCTTGTCAAATTCAGCTTCTGATATTCCAGCTGACAGACTGCACTGACTGCACATAATAAACTTCTTTTTGTCATTAACACCTTCAGCCCCTGCATGCAGGGTACTGGTGGGATGCTGGGGCCAGGGAAGGGCTGGGGCAGCACCTCTGCTCCTGCTGCACACACAGTACCTGCTTGCTGGCAAAGGGGATTTTTATACACTGGGATGACAGAAGCTATTTTGACTGAAGATTTAAACTTCAGCAGCTGCTCCCATTTGAAAATCCTTGCTAGCATCAAGCTCAGATGGTTCCTCCGTACCTCACTTTGCACATGCTTTGAGCAGGACATTTGAAAAGATCAACAAACAAGTTGACACAATGATTTCCAACCTGAAGATCACAAGAACCAGTCGCCAGGACAAAATCCAGACCCCTTAATGCTGATATGAAGACTATCTACTGTGTATTTCGTTTGCTTCTATTTTTTGTTGCTGCTTGAAAGATTTTCAAAGTTACCAACAGCTGAAAGACAGCTTTATTCCACAACTGAAAATCTTAAAAGCACTGTTAGCTTTAAAAAATTGACAATTATCTTTTTTTTTTCCTGAAGGCACTCCAATTCATCTGCATCAAATAAGCGTCTGTAAAACCAACAATTCTGGCCTAAGATAAAAATCACATGTTTTTAAAACAGAAAATTAAAACTGGCAATACAAGTAGCTTTTCAGACTTAGATCAAAAGAGGAGCTCTTTGTAGAAAAGAATCAAACTGTCTTTCACCATTTTTATTGGTGTTTCTTCAGCCTTTCTCCCAGTTTTTACAATTAAAATAGATGACTCAATTTCACTGTCTACATTCAGTTCCCTTTTCATGTTTTTCTAGATTTCCATATTGCAAAATCTAGGCTACAAACTCCACAGATGACTGTTGTTATGCAAGCACTATTCCTGCCATAAATATCCAAAACAATGATAAAATATTTCTTCTGTTATTAGGTCCTACAAGTTTGTTTTCACAGCACATTAGTCTGAGAGATAAAGTACATGCTTAATGTCTGCTTCAGGATTCAGCTCCACGATCACTGTATTTTAGACCCAGCCTTTGTAATTGTTCTGCTACAGAACACAATAAACTTTTTGTTACTGCAGATGCTACTAATTTTATGTCATTCTTTATATATTAGGTAAGAATCGTATTCAAGATCATATGAAATATTTCCGCATGAATCTCCCTGACACAATGAAACACATTAGAAATGCAAACAAACATTTTAGAGTCGGTTTTTTGCTCAGTATAAAATAAATTCCAGTATTTAGGGCCACAGTATTAAAAAATGCAGCACTCTGCAAATAAAAACATTAAAAAGGGAGAAGGGTTATTAGGTTCAGTGCCTATAACCACTGAGTCCTGATCTCTGACTGTTCCCACAGAAGTGACTGTAAGACACAATAACAGCAACAGAGCTGCCAGCATCAGTTACGTGCAGGAAAAAAAATAGAGGCAATCTGCACTAATTTAAGGCTCCATCAGAAACATCATTAGGATGTGTCTGTTAGAGAAGGAGGAAATCAATGAGGGAGCAAAAATACCCCTGATCCCTTTATATGGAACTCAAAGGAAAGTGGACTTAAAGAGCAAACCCAAATTCACCTAAAAAGATTTTCCTCAATCATGTAAAAGGTGTTTTGACTGCAAGTGCTGATTCTTAACTACTATGGACTCAATTTTGTAAGCTCCAATTTCTCCATGTACTCAGTGGGGAATCGGATCCTCAATGATCACAGAACCATATGCTAAGAAATTAAAATTTGTTGCCAATTTGACTAGCTTTGAAAACCCTGTATTACTTAGACTGCCATGAGCCCCCCCAGACAGCACTTACCTACAGGCTACACCAAGACCATGTCATTCCTTCCTCCACTGAGCCTAGGCTATGGTTTCTTTTGCCCCAGTACAGACAGCCAACAGCCTTCTTTTACCCATATACCCTATACCAGAATGGGTGGTATGGGGCAGCAGCAAGGGTTTTCCTCTCTGTTCACCCCATCACCAGCCTACTTGTAAGTGGGGTGAAGCTGGGCCTCTGCAGGATGTGGGCAGTGGCCACAGGGACATGGTGTGCATCTTCCAACCCTTGCCTTTACAGCAGGCCAAGAGACACCCATCTGAAATGGCTGCTTCTTTCCCATCCCATTTCCAGACACAGAAATGATTCTTTGGGCTTAATACTGCTGATCATGAGAATTCCTTCTCATTAGTAACGTTCCTTAAATATGAAGGGTTCAAAGAAAAACAGCAGAAGTCTGTCTCTCTTTCGTTGTTTCCTGCAATGATTGTTAAAAAAACCCGGGATAATTGGAAACAGTAGCCATTAAGAAGACAGGGATATATATTTTTGAGGCTACCTTCATGTTCTGCTTGAAAACAAGAAAATTCCACCATAAAATGCTACTCAGTAATTTGGGGTGAATTTGAGAGAGTGACGACTGCTACCCCAAAAGCAGAAAGATGCTGGGTGCCTAACACTGAAAGAGAAATCTTTTACCAAACTAAGTTTTATTTTCACCAAGGTTGGAAGATCACAGTAAATATCTTATTTCTGAAACTGCCCTATTTCTAAATAGAATCTAAGAAATACACAGTATCAGAGGTACACAGTATATGTTATGCATGAGAGACACAGCACCTAAGAATGAAACCAGGAATGCAGAAGCATGTTTGCCAGGAAAAGCATCTCGTTGGGTGGAAGAAAATATGAAAACTAATAATCTCTCTATAGGAGGCCAAATTATGACCATGTTTTCCAACAAATTTGGACTCCTGAACCTCTTCCATTTCGTCTGTCTCCAGCAGACAGACGCAAAACAAAAAAGCAGTGATACCCTGAAGGAAGACATAGAAAGAAAACAGCGAATTCTTACTTTGCAGTAGTTTCTTCATCGTATTTTGTTTTCAGATCAAATAGTTCTGTTCTGGTTTTTTCCAAGGCTAAAAGGCATAAACATGAAGCATTACAGCACTGTGACAGCAGTGAAAAGCAAAAAGACTACTCTCATTTTCTTTTATTCAGCCACAAATAAAGCTGTACACCTCCTGATGAAAAATTCTTTGCTTTATCTTTCTACCCAGGCACCATTATAACTTAGAAAAAACACAGATTTGATTTTTCACAATTTCTTAAGGTATTTCTTTTACACTGCAAATTTTCCAGTTTCTGATTAACAAAGCTAGACATTATTAATTTCTATTAAGCTGGCTAAACTGCTTATTCATTTGAAATATTTACTGCAGTAATTCAGGGAATACGATTTCTTGTGTTCTCATATGAAACTACACAAAATGCGTCCAGACCTGGAATCTCAAAGTATGCAGAGATGAATATTAATGATAAGCAAGTCATAGCAATAGGGAAGACACACTGGTAGAAACTAGGTTTGTACTGAACCCAGATCACTACATGTGTTTATCATAGATCAGAAATGTGTGAAACAGTATCAAAACACAACATACATGAGAAGTTCCATGGTCTGATTTAATTGCAGTGATGCTCTAACACTTTACTTGCCTCATGCTTGGCCCTGTCCACTGTGTTTACCAATAGACTGGCTGCAACACAAGCGCTGACTTAAGGTGTGAAGCCCCAAAGAAGGTCCAATGCACAAAGCACGTTTAAGCTGTGTTGGATCTTTGCACTTCCAAGAGCTGGTTCACACAGTCTTGATACATTTCATGATCTCTATCCTCCCACCTCCAGTCTAATCACTGCTAGAGGTCAGAAAAGCGATGCCAAACCTGTTTGCAAAGCTTGAACTTTGTGTTCAGCTTCTTCCAGCTTCGAGGCTGTCGACATCTGTGTCTCCTGCAATTTTCTATAAAGGGAAGAGAAGAGGTGAGAACGGAGCTCATAATCATGTTAAACAACTTATCCGTATTTTGCAAATTTGGAAGATAGAGTGATTAAATGTCTCAACTGTCATCAGACAACTGACAACACCACACAGACTACAAGGTGCTTCAGCGGGACCCATAAATCATGTCATGCTGCGATACTGTTCATACTTTGCAGTCCCACTTATTAAAATTTTAGCAGTGTAGCCACCTCATAACATAAGCTGTGAACATTATACAAGAGTTGACTGCTATATAAATGACAACTTTAGTGGAAGGTTTTCTTGAGCATAATTTGTTTTGGAAATGTCACACACATTGAGAAAATTGTCACCAGGCACCCTCTGTTGTACAAAGTTAGTACAAGAAGAATGATACATTTCCATTTCACTGTCATAATGAAGAAATTTGTTGCCATAACTGATATAGCGCGTAGATGCAGCAGCTGTTTCATCATAGCTCTAATGGATGCTAAATGCAGTAATATTATTAGCTACTCTTTAAGAGAACACACATATTTCAAAACAAATCTCACACGGATATTTTCCATATAACATGAGCAAACCTTTAATATGCCCACATTTTTTATCTCCACAGGCAGTATTTTCTCGTTTGTGTCAGTTATACACATTCCAACATCATCTGGCCATACAGTCACTACACTCTTTGCTGTAGGCTGACTGCAGGCATTAGAAAACTCATCCCTGAAAGGGAGCTGCTCCAGCATCTCCCCGGAGTTGCTGCTTTTTATGACATTGCTTTTAAGGTATTCTGCACATCTCAGAATTGTGGAAGGGCTTATGAAACTACCAGCATCCTACTTGCACTCCATAGGGTGCGCACATTTATTCTCCAACACTGCTGACCAGGTTAATACCTATTTATAGCCAGAAACATGCATCAGCTCCCTTCATACCAAGTTATATAGTTTGAGAACTTAAAAACTCTCTTATACACACTTTTATTATTTGCATTCCATGACCTGCCATTTTGTTCTAAGCATATCTAAATCACACTTGGTAAAGCCACTGCTTACACACTACTTACTGAAAAGTAACCACAGATATTGATGGATTCAATAAAGCTCTGCATTCACCAACAGATTCTCCCTATACAGACCTGAATTGAAACAACCACCCCATCAACTTATGTAAACTGAAGGGCTTCCACATTAAGTTGAACATATTATAGCTTCAGTGTTATTGTTCCATGGGAGAATGAATTCTCAAGGTAGGAATGCAGCCTAAAAAATCCCTCTTAAGACCCTTAGTCTCACCCTGCTGATTTGGTTTGCTCACTGACCTGCAAGATTCAAACATTTCCTGCCTGTTTGTAAAAAACTAGAAATGCATCCAAGATGCTTCCAAAAATCAATAATAAGTAATTAAAATACTTCTTAATTTTGACATGTAGGAATGTGCAATCCTTCTGAGGGTAATTCAGGAGCACATCCCCTCTCTTAGATGTTACCACAGGAGCAGGGGAGATGTTCCTTTTTGCTCTTGGGTACAGTGTTTCATCTTGCCCAGCCCACGGTGGTGCAGATTCTACAATGGTACTGTGACATACAAAGCAGACACAGCAGACTGAATTACACTGTCGGCTAATGGAGAAATATTAGTGTCACAAAGGACAATACAGCTAGTGAAGAAGAAAAGCAGGTTTGCACCCTTCTGAACATGACACCCCCCACGCAGCACTACCGCAAAGAAACAATCTGTCCTTGTTTTACTTCCACACTTCCACCATTGTTTTTCGGTGCAAAGTTGAGTATCAAATGATTCCGTGTCAAACACATAAATCGCCACAATCACTCAATATATGAGCTGTCTCAGTACGCTGAACAGCGAGTCCTGGCTGGGAAGATTAAATACAGAGAAATACATCTCTCCTCCTCTGCAGTGCTGACAGATCACACATGCACATAAACACTCACCTCTCCTTCTCCGCAAAATCATTTTGTAACTTTTGTTCTTTTTCAAGGGCTATATTCTCCGCTTGGTTCTTCAGGGTCTGTTCATACTCTCGGATTTTCTCTTTAAGGGCTTTTATTGTAACCTCTACAGAAAAACAATAGGGGAAGAATGAGTTTACACAGCTCCACGTGGTTCCACAACACAAGGCTTTCTTTACCCTGTAGGCTCAGTGTGTTTTAAACTTTAGCTCTTCAACTCTGACACAAAATCAATGGATATGAGTCCCTTTGGAGACCTTTTACTCCCTAAATGTTAAATTGAACTTTAAGTGTTTAGGCTGAGAAGGATCAATGGCGTTTGCTGGAAAGCAGAGTGAAGAAGGTTCTTCTAACATGACTTTAAAAAACAGAAAGGAGGGGGCGAATCAATAGGAAAATATAATATCACCTTATTGACTAGTCTAAAATTAGCTCACCGCTGAGTGGAGATTAATAAAGTCCCAGTGTAGGTTTAAGTATGCATTTATACACAGGACAGTTAATTCATGTAACTGTGCTCATGTAAAAAGAGGCAGTTTTTACTATGGTTCATGCACAGATGCAATCTAACACTAATTGAACACGTATCTGGGATACAGCTACGTTCTGCTTCACAACTGATGAAAAATACGGCAGTTAAGATTTAACTGCTATATTAACAGTAGATCGGATTCAATAGACATTCTGGAGCCCTTCATATTGTAGTTGCTCTAACTGCCTTGCCACTAACACCAGGTTTTATGCACAAGCATTAACTATTATAACTTTCTGAGTGCACTTGTAGCCTTCCAGGGAATTTGCAGAAACCCTTCTCTCAGCTCAAGAAGCTATCTCACATTTGCTGTGCTTGGTAATGGATGAGAGAAGATGCATAAACCTCCAGAGCTACAGCGCAGTCTCTGATGGACAGCATCTTGTTACATGCCCTCATCCGTTCCTGCGTGAAAGCCCTTTGATCCCACCCACAGGAAAGGACTGGATCCTTATAGGGCTCAGCAGAGAAAAAGCAGGACATTCACCAGAGTATGCTTTGTAACAATAATGGAATTTGGAAAAAGCGTTAGACTGCCAGAGGACTCGCTGCTAGCAACACATTTCAGTGTACTTACACAGAGATGTGGGGGGTTAAAGACAGCAGCTTAGTAACAGACACCATTAACAATGCTTTAGGAAAAAATACCTCTGCACATCAAAAGTTTCTCAATACTGTCACACAAAACCATACATAATCTTTGCAAAGGCTCCACTTTGAGAAGTGTAAAGCCAGAGAGTAGCTAGTGACAAGGTCTGCCACCTGGGAAATACACCGGTGGCAGCTTGGGCCACTGTGACCATAAAGAAGTAGGGGGAAGAGTGGTAAAAATGACTGCCAGCAAACCAGCTTCTTTTGAATGAAGGAATGGGATTTTGCTAGCCCTGCAAAGCCCAAATGAGGCTTGTTACTGAGTAATAGGCCCTGAAAAGGATGTGCCACTTCTGATTTTTCTTTTTTAAAGCAAAGGGAAATTCTCCTCTGAGATCTAGGAAGTAATACAAATTGTGATCTTTTTCTGTACAAGCAAAGGATGCTCCTCCACACAGACAAAAGGATGCTCATCCACACGTAGAAAGGATGTACTCTTTGTACCAGAGACACCTTTGCTGCAGGTATTTTCAGACATAAATCTGCAAAAGTATTCAGGTAGATGGAGAGGCATAGAGCAAAAGAATCTCACGGAAATGCATACAGTTGCACCTTAACAAAGTGTTAATGTTTCATTGTAAAAGGAAACTATAAAAATGAATGCAAGAATTGCACAGATATGGGGAAAAATATGATTTATAACAAAATCTGGTTTTATCTTTAGAGACCTAACTATAGATGTGCTGGACAAGCACAGTTTAATCCATATACTGCCCGAAGAGCTAAGTGCTGTCTTTACTGTGTAGGTCAGCCACAGCTTGTTAGCCAGTGCCATTTATACCAGTTTTGGAAGGAGTTCTTACAGGCACTGTACAGCTCATACACAGCCCTCCAAACAAAGAGATTAACTGATCAAAGCACCCTTAGCTAACAACAGGCTTTTCCCTGGATATCTTATTAATCCCTGTTTGAAATGGAGTGTAAAACTATTGCACTGGAGTGAAAAACACTGCAAAGACTACAGTGGCAAAACAGAAAGGAAGTTAGTAGCCAACAGGGAAAATAAAAGATGCCAGTTTATGAGTGGTTGCATCAAAACCCCCTGGAAGATCTTTTACTTTCTCGGATGAATCCCTGTGTCATGCTTGGATGTACAGGATGCACAGCCTCAGGAAAACTCTGCAGGGGGAACTGCAATTACTGTGCATTCCCAGTAAAAATACTGTAGGGTTTAGAGCATTTTGGCTCCCACAAGACGCCTCTTTCAGTCCAGGCTGAATCTCTGCGCGCTGATACCTACCCTCTCCACATGTCACACCCTCTATGGTCAAACAAAATATACAATATACACTCTTTCTGCTGAAAATGAGATGTAACAGAACCAACACAGTCGCTATCACAGCTTTCAAGTGTTACCCACTTGGGTGCAACAGTTCTGTAACATTAAGAAAAACCCTCTCTCAGTTTTCCCCAGTCCTGGGCAATTCCCCATTCCACCACCAAGAACTGAGTATTAAACATGGAAATGAAAAGTCCCATGTTTAGGCAAATAGGTGTACAACTGAGTAAATTTGGTTTCCTGGTGCAGGAAACTTTCTTCTGAATCACAGGAAAACTTGAACAGTCTTAAAGACTCCAGGCTTTAAATCTCATTGAGATTTTCATGTATTTTCATGTACTCTGGTCTCATTAAACTTAAATAATGAAATAGTATTAGCTTTATTTACATTGCTCTAGAGTAAATATAAAGTATGTCTGCTGAATGTACTCCAGTAATACATTTCAGGTTTAGATAAGGGAGAACAGAGTATAGGGAACATTCTAGTTTGTACAGATTTGTATGTGTGTATAAAACACTGGACTTTTGTGTTTGCCTGTGTAACTTGTACATACTACAGGCACCCACACCCAGCTTGATGTCAGGAGTAGCACCATCTCTCCCAAAGTATCTACATATAGCTTCAGTCAGGGGTGTAATTTTCAGGTAGTGCTGAAGGCTACAGCCAAATATGCAGCATAACAGCCCCATTCTCTGACTTGGTGCTATAGTAGACAAAATGCTTAAAGAAAGCCAAGTTGTCTCCCCAAAGTCATATCTATACATGCATAAATACAGAAGTGGCTGTAACATACTATTACGCTTTCTTTACTGAATTTCAATGCTACTGTCAATTCTACCTGTGAGAAATAAAACTGAATTTAACCCCCATCTTCAACTTTCAGTATGCAGTGAAAGCTGACAGAAGAATGCATTTGCAACCTACCCTGATTTTTCACCTCGGCAAATTCTTTATTGTATTCCTCTAGAGTTTCCCTAAGTTTCTGGTTTTCTGTTTCAATATCGTGCATACGTTGAACCTTCAGCTGAAGCTGCTGTCCTAAATCCAAGGCTGGAACTGGATCTGAAAAAGAAACGGCAAAATAAAAGGTAAGAGATGGATAGTTCATAGTATCTATGTTACCCTATAAATATGGAGACAGGCTGAGAGAGCTGGGCTTGTTCAGCCTAGAGAAGGCTAAAGTGCAGCTCCCAGTGCCCAAAGGAGAACTACAAGAAACCTGGAGGGGGCTTTTGTCTAGGGCACATGGGGACAGGACAAGGGGAATGGCTGTAAACAGAGGGAAGATTTAGATTAGATATTATGAAGAAGTTCCTCCTTGTGAGGGTGCTGAGGCGCTGGCACAGGGTGCCCAGAGAAGCTGTGGCTGCCCCATCCCTGGCAGTGTTCAAGGCTAGGTTGGATGGGGCTTGGAGCAACCTGCTCTAGTGGAAGGTGTCCCAGCCTGTGGCAGGGGGTTGGAACTGGGTGAGCTTTAAGGTCCTTTCCAACCCAAACCATTCTGGGATTCTATGAAATTGGGACATGCTAACTTCATCCCAGCATTAATCCACAAAGCAGTGTCCCTGGGTGCAGACAGTCATTGTACGTAATACAAAGAGTCTGAAGCTTAACATTTTTGTTTGCAAAATAAGAGGTTTTTGGTAAGAAACAAACTGCACAGCTCACTGACAGCCCCTCACATACTCCTGCTTCTGCAGGACAGAGTTTCTGAAGCAAATTCTGCCCTCTTGCACAGCTCAGGTTGGTTGATCACGAAGATCTGAACTACACTTTTTCTAATCGATAGATCAATAATAATCAGAAACTGGGGGGATGTAATCAGTTCCATGAACCTTATGAATCCTGGGGGGTATGACTCCTCTTTCCTCATTTTCTTATACTATTGATCGAGTAGACATTAGAAATTATTTTGAATGCCCTCCCAGCATTTATTCTCTACCATTCATCCCCATTGCTTTAAGGGAGTCCTGAGCACACATCTCACGTGATTTATTCTGGGACTTCTTCCCAGCAGGAACAGGAAAACGCTGGAGTCCGATGGACTTATAAAAGATTATTGACTATATTTCTGTTATGGGCGCCAGCATCTCTTGTGAAATGGCTGCAAAGATTTAGTCTCCTGTTGAGGAATGCTAAACACCAAACTCAGTGGATCAACAACAGTATATATTAGGGAGTTCACTTAATTTTCAACCACCACAGTCATTAATTTTTCAGACCACCCTCAGTCTCTGGAAACACATAATAAGTCTATTGTACCTCTGTTAACACATTAAGCATGAGCCTGTGTGTTTTTTCAATATGCCAGCGTTGTTTCATAGTTTATAGAAGAATAGTACTGGGTTATGTTGAGCTCAGAGACATTATAAGTAGCAGCCTGCTGCATTTTGTTACTTTGGTTCTTCAACAGTTTATGGCATTACTCTGTTCATAATACAAAATCTAGGTTGCTTGTCATCTGTTCTCTGCACATACATAGTTTATGACTACACAGCTTTTTCATTTATGCTTTTTAGGCCAAATACTTTTCGTTATTATTATCTGTATTAAAATATTTATAATAAATCAAACTTAAAATGTTATTATGGCAGAGACAGGGGGTACAGGTAAGGGATTAAATATAAAGTTTAAGTCACAGCAGTAGCACAAGTTAAAGGCCCTGCAATATTTATGTATGGTCCAATTATGGTACAGGCTGTCACAACATCCCCCTCTCCCACGGAGGTCTGCCGGCCTTTATCGGGAATGACCGTTCTGTCACACTTGTGCAGCTCAGCATTCCTCCCAAAGAGCTAGCCCAGGACATTCAGCTGCTGAACATAAAGAAAGGCTGGACTGTCTCAATCTATCTGCGTGTTGAATTGCTACAGGAACCACAGAGCGCATCAGGCAGGGATCTGAAGCCTCAGCTACGATAATTCTATCAAACAGTGTTACAACACTGCAGTGAAAGAAACTGAACTTCACGAAACTGTGGGTGCACTTTTCCCCCCATTCGTTTTAACATGCCCATTGTGAAAAGCCAGGACACCCACAAGAGGCATTTTGCTCCAAATACACAAGGCTTTTTATATTTAAATCAGTAAAGAATTAAAAGACAAAAATAACATGGGCATTATAAAGTGAATAATGACTAAACCTTTAGTCAAATTTGCAATCCCTGAGAAGCTTTATGTACAAAATGAAAATGCTTGCAGTCTCATAATTATTCATCAGGATATGTATATTTAATTTAGCTCTATTAAAGGTTAATGTTCAAGTAGCAAAACAGTGACAGAACAAACAAAACGTAAGAACAGTCTCTGAGCATTAGACTTCAAACTTTACTAGAGCCTATTTGAAGGACTAATGGCCCACAGCCACTAAATACTGCTTAAGGACATGTAAAAAAAACCCATGGCTGAAGCACCTCTTAGACTTAATTTTTATACACTGCATTAAAGAAAACTCATCACTGCATGACAAGGAAATGACCAAGACGTTTTGGGCAGAGACAAATACCTCATTTCTCATGGCCAGCCCCAAGATGATCTTTAATCTCAAAACCCCTAAACCCCCATGATTGCTGAAGTATTTATAAACACTGTTTAATCTGAGACAAGTATAAACCTTACGGTCAGAATGACTTTTCTTACCTGAGTGGAGTGGATTTAAAAATAAATAAAACTACTCTCCTTTCCCCAACATACACATGCATGAAAAAACATCCCTTTTTATATTAACCAGACTTCCAAAGCATGTTTCATGTCATTTAGCAGGAGGTCACTGAATTTTTAAACAAGCAATGGACCAAAACTTTCGATTCATTACACAAACAACAGGCACACATGTTTGAAAAAAGGGGCATAAAATCAAGTGGCACAAGCTCATGGAGAGAGGCAAAGATGGAAATGCCCTTTCTGGAGTCTGTAAAAGAGAAACATCATCTCACTTAGCGCTTGAGTGTGGAAAACTGATGGCAAATTATTCTCTTGGTTTGAATCTTCTCTAGGATGCAAAAGTTCAGAGCCCCTGCTAGGCACAGGGTAAGTACAGAATAAGAAAATGGGTAAAAAGAATCTGATCATCCAGAACTTGGAAAAGTGTTTTGTAAGATCATTACTGCCCACGAGTAAATCAAAGCATCTATTTTTATACTAAATTGGGTATGGATTTTTTCTATTGCTTTCTATTCTGTTCTACTTTCCTGATGCACTTGTTGCATCACACCCCCCCAAAAAAGCCCTTCACATGGTGTGTTTTATATGTGGCTCGGCACATCTGGATTTGCCCCCTGATCAGGCATCCTCCATGCTACCACAGGAGAAACTGTAACTGCTGGGTTTTCAAACTGGTATCTGCAAAGCCTGTTCCTGCCTTTACTTTCCAAGGAATTGCCTTTCGGTGCTGTTCCATGAGCAGCTCACTGCTGAGGCATCCCACACTGGTGCCCTTGCAGATGAGCTTCCGTCCTCACAAAGGAGGTGGATGGACGTGTCTCAGTGAACACAGACGTGAAAGAAATAATGTTATAAATGTAACGTAATTTTTATAGCAGCTAATACTTCACATCAAGCGGGCTGATGCAATGCAGCCGCAGAAACACCTCTCAGACTGTTCCCACACCATACACATGCCCTGATGATAAATCTTTTTTGAGTAGCAGCGCAAGAGAACCTATTTTTTCGCTGCTGCTTATGCATGTACGAGACGTATTTTAGGAACAATTTTAAAAGAAACACAAAGCCTGATCTTGCCAAACCAATGCATTACACAACTAGTTCACAGCAGCACCTCAGCACCCACAACCCCAGGCTGCTTCCCAAACCCAACCTCAACCCAGGAGGTCAAGCAGGTCTATTGGTGACCAGCTGGATGATCCAAAGGGAGTTTCGTTTAAGAAATCCCATTCCTCCCTCGCTCTGAGAGCTGGAAAAAGACACAGATCTTAATAATTCAATCTAAGTGTTTACACAAAGAGCGCTGTAGGTACCGTTGCCCTCCCCTGTCATTAGGCAGCAATGAATACCCCCCCTTGTGCGCCGGCTCCTGCCATGACATCACGCTCCTGCCTGCGTTACTTTGCGCCAGGGCACTCTAGGCTAATGTAATCATACGATTACATAATTAACCCAGCTGTCTCATTAAGAAAATCAACTGGAATTCAGGGCATAATTAGTCATACAGCAATTAGCATGCTGATGAGCAACTGATGAAAAGCTGTCTCGATATATGCTGGGACCACCCTTGCTATTTGTGAGGGGGGAAAAGCCCACCTCGGCTCCAGGAGAACGGGCTCGGGCTGGGAAGCTCGTTCACTGTCTCGGCCGCGGGCTGTGGAGCCGCGAGAGGCAGGAGCTGCTCCAGACCGGACCCGCTTCCAGCCGGCGGCCGCGGGACCTGTTGGTGCTGAGACGGACGGAGGGATGTGCTGCGGGGGAGGGGGGGGAATGTGCCGAACGAAGTGGAAAAAGCGTGTCACTGTTTAAGTGTGCGGTTTACAGAGCACCTTCTCCATACATCATATTTTATACCTATATAATTTATAAGCCCCCCGCGGCGGCGCGCTGCTCAGCGGGAGCCCCTCCATGGAAAGCACCCGGCAATCCCCACCTGGACGCAGCGGCGGCCTGGCCAACCCTCCCCGGAGGAGGGCGGGAGCTGGCCGGGCACCGGCGGGGAGCGGGGGGGCAGCGGGACCCCGCGGCGGGCACCGGCCCGGGCGGCGCGGCGGGTAGGGAGAGAGGCAAAGCGCGGCCTGGATCGCGCCGGGCGGATCGGGAGGGCCCGCGGGGCAGGGCTGAGGGCGGCAGCGGTGCGGGAGCTGCTCACACCCTGCACACCCATCACACGCACCGCGGCCAAACCCCTCTCCACGCGCGGTACGGCCTTTGCGAGTGCCCTCGCCCTCCTCCCTGGCAAAATGTGTGCCTCTGGTATCTTAAAATGGAGCTCCTGAAGAGACTCTTCCAAAACAAAGGACTTCTGCTAAACCCCCCTCCTCTCTCTTCGTTACAGCCCTGTGAGCGCTGGAAATGTGAAGAAAGCAAGTTACGAAACTGCGCCAGAACTACAGGGGC